GCGCAGTACCTTTGCAGTACTAGAAGCATCCTCTTTTTTATCAGGGCTGGATGTGGAACCGCCGTTGCTGTCGCCACCTTGTTTCACCAGGTTCTTATACATCTTGTAAAGCTTTTTCGCTTTAAAGTTTGTGAACTTGGAAGCAAAGTACCAGAGATTGCCTTTCCATTCGTTGGCTTGTTCAGGAGATTTATATTCTGCCAGACACGTGGTGATATGATTCCCGATTTGGAAAAGACATCGACGCGCGCGAGCGACTCGCTCTTCCTGACTCAGAGACATATCTGGTGTGTCTAAAGCCTTCAATGCCTTCTTTACTGGCCTCATCTTCTCTTTGCACTGCATGATAAAGTAGTGTATTAAAAAATAGTATATTAACAGTTCTTCCCTCAATTTTTACACATTATACACATATTATATATTTATTTTAGAAGTTGTCACAAGAAAAATATACAAATCCGTTAAAAGAATGATATTAACCTCATCGAATATTGGTGGGTCCAATTCGCCGATTACATCGACAGCTCTTGGTTCGTTATTCGCAGTAAAATGCATGGGACCTGCGGCTTGCTTATTCTTTTTCGCTTTCTTGTTATCTTTTTTCTCCTTTTTGGCCTTTTTCTCTTTTTTCTTTTCGTCAGACAAATCATCGACTTCTTCCTTAATATCTTTCTTTGCAACGTTCTCTTCTTCTTTTTTAACCGCAGACTATAAATAATTATAAATACATATAGACGTATAATTCATATAAATTCACAAAATATGCAAGGCTAGTCTCTTGTTTTTAAAACTTACTTTATCAATTCTGGATTTTGATTTCTTATTTTCGTCACCAGAGCTATCGTTATCTTCTACAATCTCTTTGGTGATTGCCGTTTTCGTTTCCTTGGTTTTCCTCGGCTTTCTCATTCGCGTCTGAAACAATTAAGCAACTTATAGATGCAAACCTTTAAAAAACCTTAAAAAAAAAGTATAATGTATATTAGACATATTAATATCACAATTCACATATTCCATAACTCTTTCGTACATCACGTTTGCTTGTCAAAGTATAAGGAAGGATGAAAGGATGGGAAGGGTTGGGATATTACCTTGTACTCGGTCTCTAATTGGAGAAGAAAGACATAATCCTGTAGAAGTAAAAGAGATCAATGAAGACATGTCTATTGACATGTCAAATATCAAATGACCTTACCACTCCTAATTTAAGATCAATTTGCTTCTTCAAAATCTTCAACAGATATTCCGCACGTGCATTCACGCGTTTGAGTTGTACTTTATTGTCTTTAGGAAAGATCTTATCTCCAAGTTTCAAACTGGCATCTGTTTTTATCGCTTCCCATGAACCCATGCCGTGTTGATATATACCCTTTAATAGTCTAGTATCATCCTCGATAGTCCATTCACATTCGAAATTGGCTGGTTTTAATCTGTTAGAAAAAATATTTTTAATATTTCGTACTTAATTTCAAATAAAATCCATTAATTTTAATAATTTTTTTCGCTATTTTAATTTCTAATTAATTAGAGATTTTAATTAATAACAATTATTTAAACTCACTTAATGTCGAGATGCCAATTAGCACGTTGCTCAGGATCGGATGGTAAAGCTTGTTCCAGAGGCTCGAGTTCTTTAACCGCGGCTGAGAAAGACTTTGCGTTCACCATTACACCACCCATCTTAAAAGTAGGTCCCCGTCTTCTCTTACGACCTTTCCCCTTGCTATCTTCCTCGCTACCCTTATTCTCTTTTGCGGTATTCTCAAATTCTGCTAAACAAGCGTCGCATCTAGACATCAATTGCTCGCCCAAGAAGCGCAATTCCGACATCGGTTTCTCTTGTAAGTCAGCATCAGTCGCAATATCATCTAATCGTTTCAAAGGCGCCGGGAACTTTTTATAACTCTTGATGAATCGTCGTATCTATAAAAAAGAACATTGTATAAAAAATGTGCAAAAAAATCAACCATTTCTAATCAAATGTTAAATACCTCAACATCAGTAAAGCTCTTGATATTCTCGCGTGGCAAAACTCTTGGTCTACCTCTCTTCTTGGGTCTGTCATCGTCACTTCCTTCTGCCTCGCTACCAGATTCCTCGCCATCCTCGCTATCATCTTGTACTTTTTTTCGCTTTCTGCCTCTTCCTATAAACAAATATATAAGTAGCATTTATGCGTTTGTTCATATATTTTACATTCAAATGCAAGTATTTCTAAAAATACCTTCGCTTTGATTGAGTTGCTGAAGAGTTTTCCGACTTCTTGGTGGTAAGTAAAGATCCTCCATTTCCTTTGATTTTTCTTCCTCTTCCACTTTTCTTCGGAAATTCTCCGGAATGATTTCCGCCTAAAACACGTAAAAGAACGATAAATAGATAATAATTTTATATATATATATAACAAATTTTCTAAATTTCTGAATTTATTTATGAATAAATTAAGAAAGTATATATATATATATTGATACATATAGAAAATTTTTTTAATTGCCAAAAGAACAATATGCTTATTCAGAGATATACAAGAATATACTTTCTTAATTTATTCAGAAATAAATTAAGATACTTACCCAATCTTTACTTTCATCATCGTTATCATTTGGTTGATTAATCGGTTCCAAATCCTCTTCAAATGCTGTTTTAAAACTGGCGACTTTAAAGGCAGACAATAATTCATCGCCAACTGTTGTCGGTCCTTCGTCTCTCGTTTCAGCTCTTCTTAAGATCTCATCGACATCACACTATTACAGAAATAAACATAATTAAATTAATATATTTATTACAGAACATTTGTTACATAAAGGAATATTAATTATTAAAATAGTAAGTTATTGTATAAGCATTCTAAATACACCAAACTGATGTTACGTCCGAATAAATGTGTCAAAATTAATAACGCGTTAAATATTGATAGGATTTCATATTTCCAATTAAAATATTCTGCGCTAAACATTCTAACCAAAGTGTGAGATGCCAATAAACTTACAGCTGGTTCCTCATCTCCGTCTTCCTCGTCTTTAAACAGATCCTCGGCGCCAAATTTTAAAATAGCAGTCAAATCTTCTTTGTTAAACGGATTACTGTTGGTCCCCGCGTTCTTTTTATCTAATACTGTCCTCCCGGTTGTATCCATTCGCTGTATCACTAAATGGTCCAAGACCATTTTCTGTTTCGCACGCTCAACAATTTCTTCTTCGACCGACTTTTTAGTAACCAATCGATAAATGTTTACCTATATAAATATGATGTAAATTTGATTACAAAAGATTGAAGTTGTATGAAAATTCATACAAGCGAGCATCGACTCGAAACAATCGCTGGCATACCTTATTCTTTTGTCCTATTCGGTGCGCTCTGGCTTGGGCTTGCAAATCATTTTGCGGATTCCAGTCAGAATCAAAAATTATCACAGTGTCCGCGGTGGCGAGATTAATACCGAGACCACCGGCTCGCGTCGACAATAAAAAACAAAAATCCTGGGATCCCTCAGCATTGAAATGGTCCAATGCCTGCTTTCGTAGTTCCCCCTTTATACTTCCGTCTAATCTTTGAAACGGAAAATGTCTCCTTTGCAGATATTCACCGAGAATATCTAACATCTTAACCATTTGACTGAATATTAGTACTCTGTGTCCTGTGTCGCGCAATCTCACTAGTAATTTATCCAAGAGCACTAATTTACCAGAACCACGAATTAATTGTTGCAAGTAATCTTCGTTAGTCTTTTCCCTTTCGCCTTCGATCGGTTTCGTGAGAAAGGCGTGATTGCAGCACTTTTTCAATTCGATGACGATGTTCAAGAATGTCGTAGTAGAACCTTTCACGCCTTTTCGCAACGCTTCATAATTTTTAGTTAATATCCACTTGTAATATTGTTTTTGCAAGGACGTCATTTCTACTCGTAAGATCTGCTCGACTTTAGCAGGTAAAGATTTTTCGACATCTTTCTTAACTCGACGTAGAATAAATGGTTCCAATTGCTTGTGCAGCTTGGAATATCCTTTCGTTGCGGCGTTGTCATGTTGCTTCTCGAATTCTTCCCAAGAGGTAAACCTACATTCAAACATTATAATAAATGTAAATATAAAAAATAGAATAAACTTATACTTTCATAAATTTAGAAAGATAGGAACTAACTTTGTAGGCATAATGAAATGTAATAAGGCCCACAGCTCTTTCAAGCTGTTCTGTAACGGAGTACCAGTAATCAATAAACGATGATTGGTGTGAAATTCGGTAAGTGCTTTGTATAATAGGGAATCGTCATTCTTCAATCGATGAGCTTCGTCCACTAGCAATACCGCCCAATTTAAGGCACCCAATAATGCTTTGTCCTTAAGTACTATCTCATACGTCGTAAGTATGACGTTGAACTTTAGTCTCTTCGAACCTCGGTAGCACCATTCGTATTCCCTAATCTGAAAATAATTTATATTATTTAGAGAATCTCTGAGTGTTTCAAATATTGCGAAATAATAAATAATAAACAATAATATACTTACAATATTACGAGAATTGACATCGCCCAAGTAAGTAACGAAATTTAGGTCAGGTGCCCACAGAAACATCTCTCTTTGCCAGGAAGTCATTGTCGACAGAGGAACTACTAGTAAAAATGGCCCATGAAGTTGTTGCGTGTGAAATAAGTAATAAAGGAAGCATATTGTTTGGATTGTTTTGCCGAGACCCATTTCATCGGCTAATATAACACTGCAGAAAAAAGTAGATAATTAAAAGATTAAATAAATATAATAATTTCAAGCGTCGTTATTAGAAAATCTGCGCACCTATTTTCCTTGCACCAAGAATGTATCATCCAATTAAGTCCATCCATTTGATAATCTCTCAATACTAAATCTTTTTCTTTGCCCATGTAAGCAGGTTGTTCATTCAACGGATAAAACTTGGGTCTAGATTTGAGGACTTTGCAATGTTTGCTCGGTGTTCTTTTGGAATCTTCTCTGTCGCGAAATTCTTTTATCTTCTCTGGCCATTTTTTCACTATTAAAGTTCCATCTTCCCATGTGGCCTCGGCGTACGACAAATTTTCCCATTTACAAAAATAATCGGGATGTTCAGAGTCTGGTTTCTTGTAGTCAGCTGACAAAAAAAATTATACGATGATTCATCATCATGACAATTTATATTTATAATAGAGAGAGAAGAGCATTAAATATTATTTAAAATATCATTATCAGAATAAAGATTTTCATACCAATAATCCTCTCAACATTGTTGTAACTTTTTAGAAGATCTTGTTTAAGTTCCAGTTGACACTCTAAATAATCCAACTCTTCTGGCTCAGCATATTCTCTCATCTGCCTGATTCTGCGTTCACGTTTAATAAAATTGTCTAACTTCTTCAATCCTTTTACCTAACAAACACAAGATTATGAGTATTTCCTGACATCACAACTGAGAGTTAACAAAGACTAGAAAATTTATTAATAACGCTATACTTTTTGTGCTTTTAAAGATTCCTCTGATTCCCACGTATTATGTATGTGAGACCAGCCTTTCCATTTGATCAAATATTGTACTTCAGTTTCCACGTTACTCAGATCCTCTGGATTGGGATCACCGTTTTCTTCGACAGCATAGATTGTCGTCACGTTACCCGTAACTGCACGTAATTATATATTTTGTAAATAATATCTCGATTAACAGCATCACAGTGCTAAACGAATAAAACAAACTAACTTCCTTTCTTGCCCATCCTCTGTCCCAAAATTTGTTCAATGGTTTCCGCATTGTCAGGCTCTGTTGACGCAGCGTTCGATTCGTCAACTTCAACCAAATCCTCGCTATCGGTACCTTCTTCACTTTCCTCTTTATAACTAACTGCCGTGCCTGTCCGTCTACTAACTTGCCTGATGATTAAGTTTAATATGTGGATTATTGGAATCTGACTTTCATACCTTTCTCTTTCTTTTAGTCAATTTTTCTCAATACGTACCTTCTATTATCATCACTGTCGAAGGAAGAGTTATCAGAAGATTCAGAGATATGCTTCTTTCGCACTCTGGCTTTCTCTTTCGCTTTTTGCGCAGCACGCCTGTTCAAGGATTTGCTAGGTGGGGGTCTACGATTCTCAGTTTCATCAGATTCTGATTCTGAACTCTCTGAATTCCACGAATTATGTGAACTAAAACAGTAAGTTGTACGTATAGGACCGTGTATGCATTATACCTAACAGATTCGCGTTTATAATTGCCTA